GTTAACATTATCATGCCTCCAAAAGATTATTCCAATTTTAGTGTGAGAGAGCAAAAGACTATAAGAGCAGCCCAAACTAGCCTGGATGGACCTTTGATCTAGCCCACTATCCCATCTTCACTGTGATCATAACACATACCTAGGGAAGAGTACAAACATAGGCAAGTACAATTCTTCTCCCAAATATTCTTCCAAACTGCAGCCATTTGCAGTTCAAGGAATTATATGCAGTATTATCTTTCTTGTGTTTATGCTTTCTTAGCATCTTACAATTTTTAATATCCAGTTTTGTTATAGTTTTGAATACCCTTTCACTTTCATGTGGTAAGAGGTAAAAGTATGAAATAGAAATATTTACTGACGATTGCTGCTGTTTCTACAAACTTCTTAGAAATTTCATTAGATCCTGAGTCCAGTACCCTGCAGACTATCTGGAAAGGTATCACAGCTGTAGTATATGCTTTATCTTGAGAGCTGTGTGGGCCAGCAATCTGCTTCATTGTGTGCCTAGGAGTTCATGAACTGAAGCTGTTTTTTTAAATTCAGAATTTTTAATTGACTGCAGTACAGCATGATTAATTTCCTCTATGTGGAAGGAACTGAGGAATCTTTTCTTCTGTGTGGGACAGGATAAAAGCATTGGGATATTTTGTTGGGTCCAAAGATTTGTATTCAGTGTGGGGAGGAGGCATTGCTTAGCTGTCTTTATTCTGCAAGCTGTCTGGCAACTCCTTGATGTTTCCAGGGCAATGCTTGCTCTTTATGCTTCGCTCTTAAAAATGTTCATGTTCTTTTATTGTTCTGCTGATACCAAGACTTTGTGAAAGAATACAAGCAGTTAAAAATATAGAGGTTCAGCTAAAGCTGAACAGAGTTTTTGGCTCCATGGTTTCTGCTTCTCCAAAGTGTCAGTCCTGCTGTAAATAGAGTATCTCAAACAAACAAACAAACAAATGAGGTTGAAAGAGGCATTTGTTTGATAGTCTTGATCAGTCTAAATAGAGAATGGAAGAATTGTTCCTCTTCAGGATGGAAAAGAAAAATATTAAGAAGGGGAAATACATGAGTAGGATGGAGAAGGCGCAGAGGGAATGCCTGTCCACTGCTGCTCCAGCTACGCAAGAAAATGGCATCAAGCGAAAGTAATAGATGGCAGATTCAAAATGAGCAAAAGGAGGTACTTCTTCACACACTGCCTATTGAGGTTCTGGAATGCCATGCCTTGGGCTGTTGTGGGTGCTAAAGAGCAACAACTTTCAAATGCTGGCAGAGACAAAATGGTAGGATAGATGATGGTTGGGATGACCTCGTGCAATAGTTCTTGTGTCCTTGCAGAACAGGGTGAACAGGTATATGCCTGGTGTCTCTTGCATAGGTGTTTGTATCTTACATCAAATTAAAACTGTAGACTTATGATTCTAAAGCAAAACAGGAATACAAACTACCTTTTAATTCCGATAGAACATAAGTATTCTAAAAGTAAATAGTTTAGTTATATAGGTGAAAGCTAGAGTGAATATTGTAGAAATAGACAAGGCTGTCCAGTAGATCTGTTACAGTTACTTAGAGTTCCTTTCCTTTATGGTTTGCCTAGATGACTTACTCCCAGTTTAGG